CAGCTAGCGACGACACAAAGGCCATGCAGATGCAGATGGGTATGGGTGCCGGTCCCAACATGGCGTTGACCGCGCCCAAGGTGTACAAGCAGGAGCGCGTGAGTCTCCGTCTGCACAACCACGACTGGGCACTGGAGTTCGCCGAGAAGAAGCTGTTGGGTGAGCCTATTTCAGTGAAGGCCAAGAAGTCCGCTGCCTCGTCGTCCATCATCTCAACAACCACCACAACCACGGAGAAGCGGTCGTCCAAGTACACCAAGATCTCCAAGAGGAAGTAACGCATCAATCTTGCAACGTCAGCAGAGCAGATTCGATTGGTCAAAACGAAAGTAATTTCAGCGAATCATTTCTTTGATGACTGCTAATTGGTGCATAATATGGTTTTAATGCTGTGATTGGCGGCAAATCCAATTCTGGTGGTTCTGTACTTTGCTGAGGCAAGATCATTCGTCGACTCGCTCCTCGCCGCACACCCCGCCACTATGGACGTCATCCGCAAGTACCTTAAGTCGGACCTGCCGCGTTATCTCAAAGGCCCTGGCCTCAAATAGCTATTTTTAGAAGCGGAGTGATGGTCACCCTGATCCATCATCAAAGTCGCATAGGGCTCATTGTAAAGTGACAACCATGGATGCATTTTTGCTTACGCTATGCTCCTTCGGCCAAACGAAGGCTTCGCTATTAGATGTACTCGGCGAAACGGGATCTTCGAAATCAGAAGTTCGGGACATGGCGGTGACAGCTTGTTGCAACTGGCATGACAATCTCCGATGGCGACCTAGAGCCCGAGCTCGCTAAGTCCAGGATGGTTGTCAGGCCGGCGGCCCTGCGGCCAGTGGAAGCGACGATCCTTCTCGCCGATCGGGACGTCGTTGATGCAGGCGAAGCGCTTGGCCATGTAGCCCTGAGCGTCGAACTCCCAGTTCTCATTGCCGTACGCGCAGTACCATTGCTGTTGCTCAGCGTCCAGCCACTCGTACGCAAACCGCACAGCAATCCTGTTGCCGTCAAAGGCAAATAGCTCCTTGATGAGCCGATATTGCGACTCCTGTGCCCATTTACGAGTCAAGAAATCCTCAATTTCCGCGCGTCCGCTGATGAACTCGGAACGGTTGCGCCACGCGCTGTCAATAGTGTAGGCGAGGGCGACCCGCTTCGGATCGCGCGAGTTCCAGGCGTCTTCAGCAGCTCGCACCTTCAGGGCTGCGGTCTCGCGCGTGAACGGTGGTACTGGCGGTCGAGCGGCCTCACTCATACTTCTTGCAAGAGCTGTCTTCGTGTCGACGATGCACTTGGCCAGGTTCGCTGCTCGGCGTTGCATCAGCATGAAGGTCTTGGTGCGATTGAAGCGTCTTACGTAATACAATTCCACTCGTATCGGCAAATTATCATTTTTTAAAATGTCTCTTAAAAGCGACCCCTATTAGCCTAATAGTATTAGGGGTAAGCATGTTTGGCCAGCCAAAAAAAGTTAATCCTTCATCCGTCCGCTGCGAGGCCCAAAACCGTGCAAAAAAGTGAAGCTGGAGCTACATATATTTAAATCAAACCTTCTGGCATGGTTTCCCAACAATCAAAGCTTACCTTCGCTGGTGGTTTGCAACCTTCCACTTTTTCAAGGATGGTTTGAGTTGAAAAAAAAAAGTGACGCGAAGATTTAATTTGATTGGTCGGTCAAACATTCTTTCCAACCGTGATAACCCCTATTAGGGATATTTACTTCATTTTTCTCACGTTTTTCTCATTTATTAGGGCGAGCACTTCAAGTTGCTGTTCTGCAATATTAGGTCGCTCTAAGCCATCTTTGATAGATTCTATCGTGGCTTCTATGCCATATCTTATACTCACAACAGCATCCGTTCGTGCTGTTCAGCGACAGTAGCACATTCTCTGAGTACATCGTAGGAACCCGTTGAGCCAGTAGGTCTGGAGTCCAGACCTACTACCAGGTCTGACGATCCCACCGAAAAAAAACCATACGTATTTCTAAGTATTTCGCGCGTATTCAACGGCCAGGTTCTATCTATTGAAACGAATACATTCCCGCCGATTGTGGCGACCTGTTACCACAATCCTTTTCTCCCCCATTCCAGCTGCAGCTCTCATAAACCCAACATGACCGACAATAGATCAGTAGATGCGTCGAATGTAGAGGGACTTCAGCAAGCTGTCGAACGAGTGATGGCCCGTGTCGTATACCTCCTCTTCCTTCAAGGGTCGGGTAGTCCGCGGCTGTTCAGGGAGTACGGTCTTGTTCAGTGGCTGCAGGAACGGTAGATAGGAACACTAGAGAGTTGAAAAATAAAAGTTTGTTGATTGGCTTGGCTTCCTCTTGAGTAGAAGGAGGGAAATATAAGACTGAGAGCTAGCCGGAAGAGAGGCCTAACACCTTCTCGACCTTACATACACTACACTACATAAAAAAAGGAAGGATTCACTTCGTTTGTTGTCGGCCTTCGTGGGACAACGGAGAGCCTCTGGGAAAGGGCTTGATGTCGCGAGGTGCTTTTGGTCCCCGACGCCAAGACTCCGGCGTTCAGGGGTCCCCTTATAGTACCACCCTAACGGGCTCGGTCAAGGGTACGTGCGAAGGTTGAGTTCAACGGGAACCACCCTGACGGGACGGCGGGGCGAGGAGTGATTCCAGGGTCTCGGGTCATCCCGACGGGAGGCAGAGCTCCTGGAATGACCCCTCCGTTCCCGGGTACGGGACAACATTTGCTCAAGGAGCGACGACGGCCAAGGTGTTGCTGACTCGATCTCCTCCGTGATGATGCCCCCATAGAGGGCTGCTCGATGATGTTCGCGCGTCAGCAAGGATGATTGGCTCACACAAGACAGCGAAAGCGTGACCTATATACCGACTTTAATTCATTTGAGTATCGACGCGACGTACATTCGAATGTTCCATCCATCAACCATTACATCAGTTAGATCATCCGTAATCGAGGAATAGTGTACATTTATGGGCTTACGTCTCCATTTTCGAGGGTTCTTTGTGGTCTATCTGCATACGGAGGGTCAGTCACAGCACGCCTTAGGGCGGCTTTAAGGGTCGGTCGTAGCAGGCGCTTCCACGCACAGAATGATCGGTCACAACAGGCCCCATTGGGTGTGTCGGAATCGCTATGGTCGGTTCGGCTACTTGCCTTTCTCACGAATCCGTTTCCGTGGTAGATGACTCAGCAAGCATTTGCAGATTACCGTCCGGTGGGCTTTTAGTAAACGTGAGCCACGCTTGCACTGAAGGTCCGCTGAATGTGTGACCACCGGCGCTAAGAAGAGGATGCAACCTTTGTGTTCATTCTCGTGACTATAAATACACCGATCTTTCCTCATTCCCTTAGCATGTATCGCGTATTAATCTTGGAAACCGTTGCCGGCCAGGATTATAATTATGGAAGCGTATATGATTCCAATCCTGAA